CAAATAAATAAATAAATAAATAAAAGAGAGCCTCCATAGCGTAATGTGAGGTAAACAGCAAAGAAAAGTAAAACTAACGGTGACAGTGCTTGCATGTTTTTTCCCCCCACAAGAATACCAGCATGTTCACCTTCTCTGGTTTAAGAAGCGGTCTTTTACTTGACTTTCGCTTGAAAACCATCCATCGTTTCCTCAATATGTGCGTCGTTTTTGCTGCGCGCACCCTCGCGCTCATGCTGACGTGGCGAGTATACTCTCTAAGCGCCGTTTCTTTATGCTTTCAGTTTCGTTTGCCGTTTCTCATATGCAACAGAAATTGCAGCGCTTATGAGTTGACCAACGCGGTGGTTGTGCCAGTGCGACCGCACACAAAATTTTGTCGCAGAGGCAGAAAAATGGTCGCAGTCTGGAGCCCAGCTACATCATCTGAAGCCATTCCATATCTTAATGTGAGGGACAGAATTTAGGTTTACAGAAACTCATCTTCCTTCTGCTGCAGCTGTCAGTCATTCTCCGCTCAGCATTCAAACAGCACGTCACGTTCAGTTATGACAGTCAGCATAAAACTCTCTCTCCAAGATGATATATTCCCATTATAATACTTTAAGTTTAAGGAAGGAAGGAATTATCACAAACAGAAAGATTATTAGAAGCCTTTCTTTTTCTCATGATTTCTATCTTATATTCATGAATGTATTTTTTAAGAATACAAATAGTTAACAGAATACACGTTTAAATTGTATAATGTGCACCAAAGATTTTTTTTTGAAGATATTGTTTTTGCTGCTAAATTATACAGTCAGCTAGTTTAATTTCATAGCTTATATATTTTTATTCAAATGTAGTTTTTCTCTGTAATGAGGAAGTGAGTATTTAGTGGATTATGTTTAACAAAGGGGTTAAAAAAGAGTGACCATTAGTTCCACAAACACAGTATTGATATAGTGGTGTAGAAAAAATAGCACTGGTGTTGGATCAGAATTGGCCGATTCTTAGAATTTGGAATACTCTATGTAATCTTACACTGCAAAATAATAACTCAAAAAGATTAAAAGATAACATCATAATTATTTACTGAACCCTTAAATTAATCAATTATATAATGAAAGCCATAAAAACAGACAATTAATCGTGATAACCGGCATAATCATCATAATCGCCAAAGCCCTAAAACAGACAATTAATCAAAATAACCGTGACTATTTTTAGACAATTAATCGTCAGTCAAATTTCATAATCGCGACAGTCCTACTAATATAATCAATTGAATCAAATCATCAAAAGATGTAATGTCAAGCGCAGTATACCAACGAGTAAAGTATTTTCTCAAATCTTGCACTACTCTAAATGAGACCTGACGATCTACACTATACTCAAAGCAGAAAAAAACTAGCTGTGCTTTTCCGTTCAGTACACTGTAACTGATTTTTGTAATTTGAACAGTATTATACTGTAATATGTCATTTTTTATGTCGGGAGTTGGAGCCTTTTTTTCTGACAGACGGCCGGAATGCCACCAAAAGGCTGATAACATTGACTGGTGAGTAAGTTAAGGTCACCTATATTAGACTAAATAAACCTTAGTTAAACCGAGAAACACGTTTGTACGTTCTGCTGCCCTTTAATGCAAGTTAGCTCCTTATTTAACCTTAACAGTGAATTAACGTGAAATACTGAGGTAAAGTGCGCTAGGCAAACCACTGTTTCAGTGGAGATTTTAAACAGTATTTTCTAGTCCTTCTTATAGTATCGATGATAACATAGTATCGATGATAACATCAACATCAACAAGAGAAGCATTGTAAGTTATCTTCTCTACTCTGCCTCTTTATCGCAAGTAAGGTAATTCTCTTCAAATGCTATTTAACACTGCTTTGATAAATAATGTTTTTTTTTTTCTTGCAGGTTCATTCAGACGGTCAACATTTGTGGCACCAAATGCATATTACTGGCATCCAGCTGCCAGTAAGTTACTGGAAAATTTACAGCAACCTATTTACAGTGTACACACTGACAATAGCAACAATAACGCAATTTTCTTCTGACCAATCCTGTAAATCAGCGATATGCTCAAAGATAGTGAAAAAGATATCAGGATCATCTTTGTTAAATTTAGGAACAAGTTTCAAATTTGAATTCAATGCAAATGTACCTCGATCCTCCACATCGCTAGAAACAGCACCCATACAATGAACGGGACACATGCGGATATCGGAACCAACTCAGGATTTATTAACAAAATAGAAAATGAAACAAACGAGTGCTTATGTAACCATCAGTAAAGTCAGTGGTGTAGTGTCAAGTGTATGCATGATATGTAATGTACTGTGGCCCAGGTGCAAATGTAACAAAGGGAAAAAATAGGTACAATAAAAGCAAACAAAATTAACCAAAAGAAGGGGCCGCCCAAAAAGTAGTAGAATGGCTCCTTTTAAAGAAAGTGACGATAGGGAAGCCAGGTGTGTGTGTGATGAAACCACTTATGGAATCATCCACCTCCCAAATACTGTAGGGTTGGGCAACGCACACCGGATCGTCATAATATGCAAACTCACTTTACTTGTGTTGAATACTATATTGTATTTAGCAAAGATGCCACTTTGTGCATTCAGTAGAAATTAATAAAA